CTCGTGTGTGCTTGCATATGCACGCACCGCGTACATCAGCGCACGCACGCAGGGGCTCAGCTGACACATGCAGGACTTCAGCCCTCCCTGTACACAACACAGACACGCAGAGTTGTGGTGCTCCCCGCTGCACACGCCGCCCCCGTGCCTGTTGCTCCCCATGCGCACACCCCCTCCTGCCCACACAACCCGCTTCACAACTTCCCTTTGCACACCCAGCCTGCGCCGGCCCCATGCGCAGCCCAGTGCACACACGCGCACAGCCGGACCCTCGTCATGTGGCACAGTGAGCATGGCACGACACACCGCATGGAGCACAGCGTGGCATGCGGCATCATGGCATGCCATGCACAGGATGCAGGCGGTGGACAGCACAGCGCGCAAGCACCCCGCACAGCAGCCCGACTTGACACCTGCCGTGCAGCCTGGCACACACTGCCTGGCCCTCACGCTCCAGGCGCACATGCAGCCCTACACGCATGGGCACATGCTGCTCCACTCTTCCCCAGGGACCAGGAGGGGACCCAAGTGTGCAACCTCAGTCCCCACCTCTACTACCCTCCTACACCTTTGCTGCCCAGCACTACGGAGCCTTTTTGGGGGTACCCTTCTCCCTCGAACCCCACCACACAAGGCACCCTGTGCCTGACCCTCACTGGGGCTCAACAATATGTCACACTTGTGGGAGACTACACAAGATGGGAGGACACACGTGCCAATGGGGCTTGGAGGGTGTCGTGGGGACACAGGAGGAGCAGGAGAGTAGGGGCATGGTGGGTACAGGGCAGGCATGGCGGGACAGTAGAGGTGTCAGGAGCAGAGAGGTGCTGGGGGTCATGGGGCAGGTGGGGCGCTGAGCCCCTCCGGTGTCTCCACAGCATCCGCAGCGTCATGCAGAAGTACCTGGAGGACCGAGGAGAAGTGACGTTCGACAAGATCTTCACGCAGAAGATCGGTGAGCTGGGGGCACAGGGGAGGGCACGTGGATGAGCATCCACAGGCATAGGGACACTCATTGCATGCCTGGACAAGGGCTGGGGGGCTGGATTGGTGGCAGCTGTGACAGTGGTAGTGGCTGTGGCCCTTCCCCTCTGCCCCCGGCATGGCCTGGGGGAAGTGAGAGGGCTGTGGGGCCGGGCTGGGCAGAGGTTCCTGGGGGCCGCGTGACACAACCCCCTGCGCCATGTTCCCCACCCCACCCCCCCCCCCCGTCACTTCCACCCAGTGCTGGTGCTAACCGTCCAGGGCAGGAAGCGCCTCTCACTTCCTCCCGCTGACTCCCTCCCGGTTTCCGGGCACGTCCTCCTCACGGCAGCCTGCTTCATGGTGCCTGCATGTGCCCCTGCCCTGTTGCTCCCCCACTGCACCAACCTCCTTGCTACCCCACCAGACCCCTGCCCCATAGTGCCCTATAGCACTGCACTGCTGCTCGCTGTGCCAGGCGCTGTCCTGGCCTCCCTGCATCACCCTGCCAAAGCCTGGCCAGTCCCCAGCTTGGCACTTCCTCTTCTTCGAGCCTGGCATGGGGGTGGCTGTGGGCACAGGCAGGCCCAGGGGACATCCCTGTGCCCCGTGGCCTGAGCTACCGGG